GAAATGATAAATTGATATTTAATTTGCTATTCATGGAGATACCTGATATTGTAGTTAAAATGCCTGATTATTTTTCTGCACCCTCACCTTATTAAACAACTGTTCACAAAGCTCACCTTATATAGTAAATATTCTGGTTATGCATAGATAGCATCATCAGAATTGAATGTCTCCAGTCATCATTCAATCAAACCTCATGAAGAGCTGCTTCAACATTGTGTTGAGAAAATTCAGTATCTTCCTGAAAATACAAATTAAGAAATATCACTTGAGATCACAGATTTTGTGAAACAATATTAAATGTTGCAGTACATTTCACTTTGAGAATACAGCAGTATCTGGTTATTAGGGCTACCATGGCTCTTATTAGGCAGTTAAAAATTCAATCAATGAAATAATTGAACATGTCCTTACCTATTCACGAATTGACGAAGATGATTTCCACTTGAATGGCATTATTATTTATGCATATAATAGCGTTATTTGGCATGAACACTCCTAACCACTTCATTTTGTTGGCCTTTTCACAGTTTAACTTGGTATCTCGAACAAAGCTCTCCAATCTCGAGTGACAATGAGTGTCAGGCTGACAATAAGAAAATTTTTCAACAAATAATGCAGGATCATGAATGCAGGTTATGTTGAATAGCTCATTTGACACAGGAAATAGATGACGCCACTTGCCGTCCCTTCAAAATTTCATTACAGGGCGATTTGGCGATTTTCGCTGAATGAACAGTCATGTATAACCCGTCAGACAGTCCATTTAGCCGTCATTGGCATAGGTAGGTACCTCAATGTCATACAGTTATCAATGAAATGACAATGAACATTAGATAGGCTCATGCATTTTATTGACATAATGTTTTCGACAATGGACAATTGATATGTTCTGACTAGGTCTTCCATTTTGTATTTTCTATCCTTTTTCGCATGAGCTGTCATTCATTGTTGTGAGAGGTGAAGTAAACAACTGAATTGATAGTAAGTTGCATGAGCGCTATATTCAATGTCATCAAATATAAATAACGAATTTAGTTGTATGAACTGATATTCTTTCTCAAGAACATACATCGTGATGATTATGTTAGTACCTCTACCATGGAGTTTCAGTCGTAAAAGCAATCTACTTCTACCTCAGGCTTGAATCTTTGTTTTTACCTGACCATTGTTGCAACAGCGATAGTAATATGCAGTTGTGATAAATTAGATATATAATTGAATACTAGTATTCTCATTGTAGTGATTATTATCATTATCATTATAATATAAGTGGAATACCTAATATTTTCCATACCTAACCTCAAAATTCTCAGTGTAAGAATAAACTACATGATTTTTTATTGAGAATGTACTAAAGTCATCACTGGGCCAATAATGAATAATCATTAAATGCCAGTACTTACGTCATGAGTCATAATATTATAGCGAATTCCATTGGTGATACTAGTCTGCATTCATTGAATACATTTCTCTTTCTACAACATGTCAAGAAGAATGATAAATATACACTGAGTGCATAAATACTCCATCAGTTCATGCCCAATGGAAATTAAATTTGTGTGATATCGCCTTCAATATCAACCTCAAAGATCGAGTGATCAACACTTCTATGTGATATGTGAATCTGTCTCTTTATAGTTGGAAAATGGAGTATAACTATGAATCAATATCCATATGTGATAGGAAGAAATTGTAATTATTCACAAACTTATGGGAGCCATTTTCCTAAGCCGACCTTTATAGGCATCATTTCTAGTGATGTTCTAGTTATCGTTGGGAATGGGGAAGAGGGGCAAGAATGATAATCATTGTCTTCTATATCGTCCAACTACTACAACATACCTACTGCCATGCGGAACATATCGAACATATTGAAAAGGTTTTCTTTTAATTATATATATCTACACCTCTAACTACTCACATGAACGTCACATCCTCTGTGATAAAAGAAACAACAATCTATGGTTCTATATACTCGCTCGTGAACTAGGGCAACTTTGACGTCGAGGGTTCCTTTGACACTTTCTGGGGCTACTTTGACATCGCCCTAGTACTATAGCATAGATTAAGAATACTTTGTGGTTAAACGTTATTGTTTATATCAAGTCTTTGATCATTTCGCTGGTTATTGAGGTATTATTGTTTCATGAATAATTGGAAACAAAAATTGTAAGAAGTTAGAACAAATATTGAAACAGACTGGGAGGCCATGCATATACAAAATTATATAGGTATAGTACTGAGATCCTGAAAAACAGTGTGTGAAGTTAAAAGCTTTAAATTTTCACAGGCGGTAGCCGCTAAAAAGTGAAAAATAACAGAATGACATCATTGTAAAAAGTTCGTAGGTCACATCCATATGAATAACCTATATATCTTCTAATATAGAGCCCATTAAAATATTCCTCTACCCTACCCCCGAAAATGTAAAACCTCGTAGATATTAAAAATCTTTGGAGAGCTCGAAATTAGGATCTTCTAGTGAGAATAAACCACACCAAATTTCAAATTGATATTTTCAAAAGTGAGCGTGATATTTCAAATATCAAAATAAAATATTGACCCCCTATATATAGCTCCGCTTCTGATCGGGACCGAATTCACGTTTATGTGAACTTTTTTGATTAACATGGTGATGAGATGTATCACCCAATCCAGTTTATACCCTAAAACCTGAATCACCCTGCATATGTAATTCGTCATAAGCAGCATTTCTGTATTGTTCAGGACATCTATGCAATTTAGTTATGTGATGGTTCATTATCTTATATCACATTTCCCTTGGTATTTCTGTGATGCAAAATTATATTATGGAACTCAAAATAAGTCATCAGTGATGACACAAATTGACACAAATAAAAGTCAACTTCCATTTCGAGAAATTGAGTAAGTTACCATGGTAACGTTGATTCCATCAATGATATTCCTCAGTGAGAATATGATGTATTTCTATCGTTCTTGAGAGGTGAAGAGGTATTCACAATGAAAAATAAAATATTTTATGCACAAGCGGGCCGTAAAGTGCACTTTTCCGCCCGGTTTTGCGGGCGTTAAGTCGCACTTTACCGCCCGCGGGCTCATTATGGCCCACGGGCCGTAAAGTGCACTTTACCGCCCGCTGTACTCAGTCACCTTATATCCACATATCAATTTATGATAAACCTATGATCATATTCCTAGATTCTAATATATTCAGCGGTATATCATTAACTTATTCTTCTTTATCCGATTCCATATAGTCTCGCTATTATTATTACCACTAATCTTACTTTTCAGTCAAAGAATGACAATTCAGCTCGTTAATTGGATGTATTGCTATTGACAACAACCATCAGATTGATTGACAACGTCAAAATTGAATAAGTTAGGTTTATATATACTGGGTATGCATATTGTAAAACTCTGAAGAATGAATTTCTTCTAGAGCTGAGAGAGTTTTAGTGTTACGATAATTGCAATATTTGTACGATAATTTTCATATGTAAATCATCCATGAACATCACGCTTCTCTGAATTACTGAATTAATACGTAACAAATTAAATTCTGGAAAATATTGGTTTGTCGAAATCTAAAGTCATTACTTATGAGTCAGAAAATAAACCCCTAGTGCATAAAATTTTGTATGTATCTCGTGCGTGAAATGCGTTTATGGCCTTCAGCGTGTAATGGCCTTCGGCTAGCGCCATCGGCCATAAACGCCTACTTTACGCCCTTGATACATAAATAACTATTATGCACGACCGGGCGTACAGTAGCACTGTACCGCCCGGGTTTGCGTGCGTAAAGTGGCACTTCACCGCCCGCGGACTACTTTACCGCCCGGCGGGCGATAAAGTCATTGAGCTGGTGGTAATGCTAATGTCACTGTCATATCGATAGAAATCTAGATTGACATTAAGAAAGCATGAAAATAGTACTTACTTTCATCATAAGGTACGAATCGTCTGGTGCTTCACTCAAGAATAACTCTATTTCTTCTCTGCTTAGAATCTTCGATTTCTTTGGTTTATAACCGTCAGAATTTCTTTTCAAGAAAGCTATCAATCTTGCATATTTACTAATATCTCTATTATCATGTACATTTAAAGTAGCTTTCAACATGGCCACATGGAAGAGGACTTACGAGATTTTGATTTTTCCAGAAAATTGGCAAGAAGCACACTTTCAGTGTAGTTCTTATTTTTTACATCATTTCTGTCGCACCAGCTTACGAATTCTTCGTTTACTTTGGCGTATATTTTTTTTGATTTACTTGGCAATAAACTCGATTTTGCTTTCTCAGCTGCTTCACTAATTTCTGGTGGAGTACAATTCACACTTTCTTCATCACTAGAATTCATTTTGGAATCACTAATGAATTATGTATGATTACACAAATTGACAGTTAATATGGCTACTGGCCTATTAATTCCTATTTCGAAAAATTGACTGAGTTTCCATGGTAACGTTGATTCCATACTTCTTGATTAATTGTATTTGCGATATGGATACAATACAGTCTCACTGCAACCGTGATGTATTTTTATTGTGCTTGAGGGGTGAAGAGATACCTACATGAGATATCAAATATATACAGGTCGTGCATAAAATGTTGTATGTATTTCGGGCGTAACTAGCTTTTATATGGACCTAGGCGTGATAATAGCCCTCGCTATCGCTCGGTCTATTACTTACACGCTGCGGTCCATAAAAGCCTATTTCACGCCCTTGATACATAAATAACTATTATCGGTCGTGCGTAGAATGTTCTATGTATTTTGGGCGTAACTTGCTTTTATGGTCCTAGAGACCTCACTATTGCTCGGGCTCGTTCACGCTACGGTCCATGAAAGCCTATTTTAGGCACTTGATAGGTACCTGAATGACTTTCATAGTAAACAGAAAATATCGCTTAATGAAGAACATAGCCAAATAAGCTATTCTGATTAGATGTCGAAAACAAAGAGTGAATCCGTAATTTTAATTGTTTGATATTCAATACACTTGATTTTTCTAGACCCATTATGAGGATGGCCACAACTATCATCATCGAAGGAGTACGACGGTACGATCATGTGACACAGAACAAATGGAATATAGACTGGCGAAACTGGAAGCCAAAGTCGATGAAAAATCTGAGAACCTTGTTGCTGAGTTGAGGGAAAGCAGTCGGAGGATACATTCATTAGAGATGCATATTTCGGAAGTGCGAAGAATAGTTGCAGGTGAATTATCTTGAGGAATTCCAACTGACTGCGCTCCACCTGCATTGAAATTACCGGTTACTTATTCTCAGTTAGATTTCAACCTGAATTTCGAATTCATCCTGCAATCTTCCATGATTATTTTATTCCCAAACAAATTTTCCAGTCATTAGACAATCTTCATAAATATTTCTTACTATCTAAATCTTCTTGTAGTCAAATATTTCAATCTGAAAACAGTAGTGCATCTTACAGATGAGTCATGGGCAGCTTTATATTCTTTAATGTCCTACTATGAGCAGCATCCACTCTTGACTGAAATCATTTTTTTGCTGAAAAATGCAGAGAATTCATTATCATCAGCATGTAGGAGAACTGATCTGTTTGTTTTTCATATTGAAATATAAATATCGTCAGATTTCAGCTCGGAGCTTGGGAGAACCACCGAATCCAATGTGTCAACAAAATTTCAACAAGCTCCTGCTCAAAGAGCTGACAACGAAAAGTTAGAGATACGAATTGAAAATCTATCCAAAGGAATACAACTCGTTGTGGCAGCACTGCGAAACCTCAATTCAGACATCACTTGGGTGAAAAAGAATATATCAAACATCGCGGCTGAAACGAAGTGGGTAAAACTAGGGTCCCTGTATATACTTTAGACAAAACGAGTTTAATTCGTAAAAAACGTATCCTTTAAGTGTTTATCTGTCAGACTAATAATTTGAAGTATTCTTCAAAATAACGAAACATATTTCAAGAGCATAGGCCCAGTTTTTGATTACATCAAAAAAATGCGAATGCTGCAGGTATTTCGATGAATATTATATAAATGTACTATCGGGATGTCCGCTAGATAATGGAGACTCATTCTAATATACAATTGTATTTGTTGTTTTGCTCATAATCTCTCAGATCGCTCAAAAGGGAATCCCCGTTGAGTTCGTGAAACAACGTGCCTAAAGGGTTTTGCATGATGAAATCGATGTAAAGGATATTCTTATTTCGATAAATTAATAATGTATTCCTTGATTGCACTATCGATGATAATATTATTCACCATGGTTATCATCAGAGAGTATAGGGCCACAAGTCTTTGCATTTTCTCATTACGGTTGAAACTTCATTCAGATGAGCTGTCTCCATTGATCCGTTTATTATCTCACAACATTCCAGCTGTGCATGTTCGGAATTGCTTCGTTTCTGATATACAGAGCGTTGAAGTTTGAGAATTAAACGGAATATTTATGAAACACCATCAATATCCTCGAATTGATTTGGTTATAATATCATTTAGCTTTTTGAAGTACAATTGAGCGCTTATTGAGCCCTAACTAGATTGAAATTTTTAGGTCCATTGGCCAGAGTTAACAATATTGAAAAAGGTACGCCACTGACTAGATGTGGTATTTCTGCATTTCACAAATTATTGGTCTCTTATTAGTTCTCTTTATGGCTTCGTTCTAGAAAAAAAAATTGCATTTTTCATCATGTACCTACTTGGAAAGAGATTGATTTTTTTTTCAATATCGGGAATCATTCGAGTTCGAATTTTGAAAGGATTCCTCGCAATTTTCTAGGGTGAAATGGTTCTTGGTAGAATTGTTTATATTCTTCAGTACCTATATGTTGTAGTATTTGATGAATTGAATAAACGTGCAAAATCGCAGAGGTCTTCGATGGTCAGATTGTGAAATACAGAGTGTTGAACTCACAAATCGGCGATTATTATAGAAAAATCCTCTCGGGATTTAATGGTGCCGAGTGTATTTTTGCTTATATCATTTACTCACATCCATACCACTGAATACTATTCAAGCGGTTTAGATTATGTATGCAGTACGTATTATGTATTTTTCGTAGAGATCGACGAAAATGAAAAGTTTTGCTTGTCTCATTTCGATCGTAAAGCAGTTACTACCAAATGGCTCATTTATTCAGAGACAAATTGTTTTTCATCATTTTCGTTTCAACCGGAAGCGCTTCTTCAACTATAAGTATCGTCAAACATGGTTCAACACACTTAAGAAAATCTTTCTAATCAAAGTAGTTGTATATAGCACTCACCGTTTTGTCGTGCAGTTCTATGTTCACATAATACAAACAAAACAATTATCATTGCACAAAAATTCTGGAGATTCATAACGTGACCTTTTTGTTAGAATTCTTCGATGTCTGATGCATTCGATGAAGATTCTGGAAATGTTTTGTAAGTCAATATAAACAATCGATGTGAAATATCAGGAGGAGTGATAGGTAATTTCAGTGAAACCCATCACACTCTTTGAATCTACGTATGATTTTGAAAAACATTTCTCCTGTCTGTAATTTTCAACTATTTTCTGATTATTACGATTTTTGTGGAAAATATATCTCTAAAGATTTCAATCTCCAAAATTTTCCAAATTCAATTCTCAAAACTTCAACAGTCTCAGTAAACATGATTTTCTTTGGAGTGAGATAAGGAATTCCTACAAAACTTATACAGTGTGGTCGAGAATATATTGTCATTCGAAGGTTTTTGCAAGCTTCTGAAGTCATCTCTCATAGGGTTTTGCTCCAACTAATATAGGATCTTCAATATCTTCAATGGTTCTCTAGTTCTATTGGGGATCTCTTCATGAAATGTAAACTTTTGAGGATCGCAAATCCTCTGAATGACAAGATATTTTATTGAGGCCAGAATATTTTGAATTCATGGTCAATAGATGATTTCGATACAGATATCTGGCCCTTCTGGAACGTGATCAACGTCTTCCTACTACCCCTACAGATTCGTGGGCACTGAAGAACACTACATCCAGACCAATTGCTAGGAACTGCCGGGATATACAGGATACAGGTGACTGTTTTGATGGATACCTCTACTCTTCAGATATATGAGAATAGATAAATTGTAATGGAATACTTTGAAGGTTACAGTGTATCTGGAATTTATAAAATCCAACCAGAATATGCCCAAAAACCTTTTATGGTGTTCTGTGACATGGAGACGAGTGGTGGTGGTTGGACCTACATCCACAATAGATTTGATGGATCACAAGATTTCTTTCTGGAATGGAATGACTACAAAACTGGATTTGGAAATATTGGTGGAGAATTTTGGCTTGGAATGGAACACATCCATCAGCTAACTGGTAATATTTATGTGAATGTTAAATCATAATATGTATATATTAGTAGTGAAGATATGAAAGAATAAGATTGAGAAGGCTAGAATTCATCATTTCGAAAAAAATAGAGATGAGTGCTTGATCAGTGAATGCCAGGAGAAGTCAAGATGATGCATTGTTGGGTTCAAGGTCAAATGCCTTCAGACTGAAAATAGATTCCTTTCAAAGTGAAAACAATACCAGTATGTATACCAAGAGGGTATCTAGAAACTAGGACGCATTTTTTTTTCTGGAATCCAAGGTCGAATGCTTCAAATTGAAAATTTCATATTTTTCAACTATGTTAACCACTGGTTGGGTGGTGATATTTATTTTTATTGAGCATTTGTCAATTCAGATTGCCTTCACTATTCACTAAAATTTTTGCATCTCATCCGAATCAACATAAGTATCACTCATAACAGTTACTCATTATTCTAATGAATAGTTTGTTTCGCGTTATTACGTTGATATAGTCAAATTGCTGAAGGCTTCAATTTTTATATTTTATGGAACGTTGTCATTTGCTCTTTCATTCAGGTATATTTGATGATTTCATACATACAATACAAAACATATTATACAATTTCGAGTATTGGTGCCATAGTGATGTATATCGTCATGTCGTTACAGGAAGATTCGAAGTAAGACAAATTTTTTGTAGAAACCCGATGGGGACGGAGGGGGGGCAATTGCCCCTCAAATGACGCCCACGGCTTGAATGGCGTTCTATAGATTCTTTCTATTAATATAAGCGACCAAAAATTGTCTAAAATTGTATAGAACAATGGTTATGTTATCCTATCTAGTAACAGAAACAGTAGTGAATTGCTGTTGTTATATTGTTTCTTATAATCCGGTTGTTGTTGTTGTGTTCACGTAGATATCAAGCTAACGTAGATGTCTCTGAACTACATATTTTCTTCATTTTTCTCTTCAATGAACAGACAATGTCATAGCTCCTGCCTATTAACTATACCTAACTAGGTTGTCATCTAGATCGACAATGGCCAGGATAGCAAAATTGGGTGAAAATTACCGCACAGGAAAGTGCGACTTTCCATTCGTTTTGCTCAGGAAAGTGATTGGCACAGGTGCAATGTGTTTACATTCCTTTGGGACATATTTCATTCCGTTATCTGATGACGGACGAAATTTGCAAGGGGCTCTTGGAATATGATAATAATAAATTGCATTCATTTATCCTGGCGGAGTTCAGCAAGACTACTCTTCCACTAAACCATGGATGATGACTTAATTCCGTTTGTTTATATTATAGGTAATGATCTCAACGAACTGCTTGTTGAGTTGGTAGACTTCAACAAACGAAGAGTATATGCACATTACACTGCTTTTGGCATTGGTTCTGAAGCCGAAGGATACAATTTGAAAGTTCTGGGGGGGTACAGCGGTAATGCAGGAGACTCCTTAGTGTATCACGCTGGAAGCCGATTCAGTACTAAAGATCGAGATCAGGATAGATGGATCGAAGGAAATTGTGCCAAAGCTCATAGTAAGTATCGAGTTCATCATTCAAAAAGAATTAATGACCTTATACAGTGTTTTCTACTTCAAGATGAACATAGTTGATGTGAAATAAATACAAAAAGCTCAAAGTCATTTCCACGAAATGTTCATAGAATGAACAACAATTGTAGATTTCGAGAAGGAAAAAACTACCTTCCTGGCTAATGCCACGCAGAAAATTGAATTACATTCTCCGGAAATCTATGCATCGACTCGTATGAACGAATACTGATACAAGTAATTCTTACCTGAATGCCTATTGATTTCGATTTAGCCAGGCCACGCTAGACACCTACACACCGGTTTCGAGAACTTTGAGTATGCATTCAAAGAAAAACAATGTGTATGCTTGTTTCTATTCAAGCTTTCGAGTCTTTTTTAGCTCTTCATAAGGAACTCTATTAAACATCAAAATTGATATCAAAATTCAATCGTTATTATCGATAACTATAAACACTTACGGAGAGTGAGGTTTCGTTTAAGCTGGCTTTTGGTAAGTGGGGAATATGATAAATGTGTAAAAGAACATTCGCAACATGAAAACATCAATATTTTTGAAGATTAATGAAAATTGTTACATCATACTTGAAATTTTGGAGAGAAAATTTGCATTCATTTCTGCTACGATCGTTATCACAACATGGCTGACAATCAGAACAGTAACATGGGAACCTGGTCTGACAGAATCATGTAATGATCAAAATTTCATCTGTCATGAATCAATTGTCAAAATTTAAAAAGTATCGAATTAACGGTATTTATAAAAGCATACGCATAGAGCGGGTTATATATGTATAGGGTGCATCTTGATGAGTTGAGGCAATCTACACACGGAGAACTGATAGTAGCATTAGGTATGGTAAAGAAGAAGTGGCGATTCAACTAAAATATTCCCGTTATTGTGAATCTTTCGGTTTTTCCATAATTGACGTAATATCTCAATATGACACCCTATATATTTCATTACATTTCTGAATCCCTCTCATGAATCTGGTACATATTATTGCATCATACCTCATACCTCAAACGAACCATTTTCAAGTTACTCCAGTTTTCTCTGCCCACTTGAGACAGGAACACCCTCGGGAACACCCTTATAATATCTAGAGTTTTCAATTGATCGATTTTTCTAAATGTCAGCAGGGAGAGTATCGGAAGATCTATATGCTTACAGAAATTTGCAAAGTATAATTCAAAATTTCATTATGGAAAATTCCAATCGGTACATAACATTTGTTTTGGTAACATACTATTTTTCATGAATATTACATACAAATTCTGAAAGGCATCAAAATTGTCAACACAAATACTAGGAATCACTCAGATTTCTGGTAGACATTTGAACAGATATCACAAATAATTATTATCGAGATATAGGTTAGGTTAGGTTAGGTTGAACGTGAGTGGGCCTATTGTCAGGCCCTCCACTGCGGCCATTGGCCTATTGTGGCTCACCCTAGGGTTATATTTCTCCCTGTATATCCAATTTCTTAACGAAATTGAGGATTGCGTTGGGAGAACAATTTACCAGGTTTTCTGGCCTTACTGTTGTATTGCCGAATATTGAAAATCTGGTTCTGGCCGCTGCGGGGCATGTACACAGGATGTGTTTCGCCGTTTCATCCTCCTCCATACATAGGCGGCACTCTGCATCTTGTGCAAGTCCGATTTTGTGCATGTGGTATTTGAGTTTGCAGTGGCCAGTGAGCAACCCTACTATGACTCTGAGATCTGCTCTGCTGAGTTCTAGTAGTTTGTCAGTGTCCTGTTTGTTCCTTGTACCAGCAATAAATGCTTTGGAATGGGCTAGGCCCGGTAGACTGCGCCAGTACTCGAGTCTTTTCTTATCTGCCCAGGATGTTATAGCATTCTTGGCAGTGCTATATGCTATACCGATGATCGGTTCTGGCCCAGTGAACGGTGTTTCGGCCCCCCCTTTTGCTAGGGCGTCCGCTATTTCGTTTCCTACTAGGCCCGTGTGACCTGGTATCCAAACTAGGTTCACGTTGTTACGTTCTGCTAGTTGGTTCAAGGTTTCTCTGCAGTTCCATACTGCTTTAGATTTAAAGCAGTTGGATTCAAGCGCTTTCAGTGCTGCTTGACTATCTGAAAATATTTTTATTGTTTTCCGTGTGTGGTGTCGATTTTCCAACTCCCTTGCACACATTTCAATGGCATGTACCTCTGCCTGGAATATCGTAGCTAATTTGCCCATGCTGAATGAGCGTTTCACTACTGGGTTCATCCCGTATATTCCGGCTCCGACGCCTTCCAGAGTTTTAGAACCATCGGTGAACCAACATTCATTAGCCCTATATAGGTCAGTTTCGTTCCGAGCCCAGTCTTCTCTTTCAGGGAAGACCACCGTGTAGGATTTGTGAAGGTTGATAGTTTTAGGCATGATGTCTGAGGGCATTCCCAGAATGTTGTGAGCTATTATGCCCTCCAGCATGCTGCTGCCTCTCATGACTATTGCCTGCGGTTGACTAGTGGCCGCTTGGTGGAGTCTGTATGTTGCCCATCTTGCTTCTCTCTCCAGAACTATGTGAAGAGGAAGTAGTCCAAGAAGGGCTTCCATTGCTGCTGTTGGCGTGGAGCAAATGGCCCCCGTAATCGCCAGGCACGCTTGTCTCTGTAGTCCATTGAGTTTGGCCTGGGCCATTTTCTGTTGGCCTTTGCCCCACCAGACTACAGAGCCGTACGTGATCATAGGTCGTATGACGGTCACGTACAGCCAGTATACTTGTTTTGGTGACATGCCCCATGTTTTGCCACATATTCTGCGGCATGTCCATAGTGATAGGCTAGCCTTTCGGATAGTCTTTTCCAGGTGCGAGTTCCAATTTAGCTTTTTATCAAGGGTTAGTCCAAGATATTTTGCTTCACTCGCGAAAGGAATTGTTACACCATTGATGGAAGGAGGTCTTAGATGTTCCAGCTTCCTTTTTCTGGTGAACGGTACTATGACCATTTTGTGGGGGTTAATGGACATTTCCTCCCTCTCACACCATTTATATATGGTATCTAGTATATCCTGAAGGACGTAGGAGATCGTCTCTTCGGATTTGCCTCGTATTACTAGGACCAGATCGTCAGCATATGCTTGCAGATCGACCTCCCATATCGAGAGAATGGCCAGCAAATCATCCACCAGCAGTGACCACAGCAGAGGGGAGAGGACTCCCCCCTGCGGGCAGCCCCTGGCTGGCTTGAAGCCGACACTTTCCCCCTGTAGGGAGGTCGTTATGGTTCTGCTATGAAGCATAGTTCTTATCCAGTCACATAGTATTGGTTCAATTCCCCTGGAGGCAGTAGCCTCATAGAGGGAATGAGGTAGTGCATTGTTGAATGCTCCTTCTATGTCCAGGAATGCTGCGACTGCTATCTCCTGTTGTTCCAGGGCGTCGTTTATTCCTGAGACCAGGTTATTGAGGGCAAGTTCTGTTGATTTGCCAGCTTGGTAGGCATACTGGTGAACATTAAGGGGGTGTTTTGTTAGTACACCGCACCTCATGTGTCCATCCAGTATTTTCTCCATGCTTTTCAACAGAAAGGATGTCAGACTAATGGGTCTGAGCGATTTAGGGTGTGGGTCAGTCCGACCTATCTTCGGAATGTAGATCACCCTAGTCGCAGTCCAGTTGGGTGGAATGTAGTTCCAGACTAAACTGGCTCTAAAGAGTCTTGTGAGTATAGGTACAATAAGTTCCAGTCCGATTTGTAACAGAACTGGAGCTATGCCATCCTCTCCTGGCGATTTGTATGGGTGGAACGAGTTAACCGCCCATCTTATCGCTTGTGGTGTGATTATTTTGTTGGCAGCCATCCAGTCACCTCTGCCCGGTCGTTTTGTTCGGCCTGCGTTTGTGACTGGGGGTCGTTTGTCCAGAATCAGGCTACCTGGGAAGTGGTTATTAGCTAATAGCTCTAGTGTTTCTTTCCTGGAGGCCGTAAAGGAGCCGTCTGGACGTTTAAGCGATCCCAGCTCCTGTGTCGGCTCTCTGGATAGAATCTTGTGGATACGAGCTCCGCTTGATGTGCTGGACACATTTTCACAGAATCGTTCCCATGATTCTCTTTTTGCTTTCCGGATATTTTTGTTATATGTGGTTAGAGCAACCCTGTAGTTTTCCCATTCACCTGATTCTTTAGCTCGGTTGAATAGTCTTCGAACTTCTTTTCGTGATTTATCCAGATTTTTGTTCCACCAAGAAGCATTTCGGTTATCCTTTTTCTCCCTTAGTGGACAGTTTTCGTGATATGCTGAGATAAGTGCGGTTTGCAGATGTTCCGCAGCAATATCTATTTGTTCACGACTATGTGTTGTGGTCAGTCCGTTTTGGAGATGGTTCTTCAGGGAGGTTTTGTATCCTTCCCTGTCCAAGCTCCGTATGTCTCGGTATTGTACCACTGGCCTGGGGCCTATTTCAATGTTGAATTGAATGTGTCTATGATCTGAGCATGATGGTTCAGAGGATACCCTCCAATTGGATATCTTATTGCTTAGAAATTCTGAGCTGATTGTTAAATCTAGTACCTCTTTCCTAATACTATTGATGAAGGTTGGCTCAGAGCCCACATTGTTAACTGTGAGCTCCTCCCCCATCAAGTAATTAAAAAGAGACTCACCCCTCGTGTTGATGTTTGTGCTGCCCCACGCTATATGGTGTGCATTGGCGTCACATCCTATCACCAGATGGGTGTTGTTCCTCCGGCTGAAGGCAATTAGTTCTCGCACGGCCGCTGGAGGAGGTTGTTCTGCCCCTGCGTCTCCAGGAAAGTATGCTGAGCAGACGATAAGTTCCGTCATACTCCCTCTCTCTGGAAACTTCACATGGATAGTTGCCATGTCTTGGGTGCAGAAATCTGAAAGAATAAAATAGTTAATGTTGCTTCTGGCTAGGATACATGCCCTGGGTCTTACCCCAGAGCTGACTGCAATTACCTTACCAGATGTATTACTCAGGCCGGTAATTCGGCCTGTGTTGGATGTCCAGGGTTCCTGGATGAGGGCCAGATCTATCCGCTCCTCAATGAATTTTTTGCCAAGGACGTAGGTGGCGGCCTTGGCATGTTGCAGGTTACCCTGCAAGAGCCTGACTGACGTGTCAGCCAGTTCCTTCCTTGCCTTCTTTAGGCGGTCCTCCCCCGCCTTCCCCAGAGGGCGGTTTGCTCCCCTTCCCTCTGGAGGTGCCGGCACTCTTGACGAGTGGTGGTCTATTCGGGATGGATTTTCCCTTTCCCGAGACCCTCCTCGTAGGCTGTTTGGTCTGGGGGGCACTTTTCGGGAAGGATCGGCCTTTCCCTTGCGGTGCTCCCTTTGCGACCGACTTTGGAGGAGTGCTTTCCTTCTCCCCCTCTTGCTGCGTTCGGGAAGGTTCTTTCCCTCCACGACCGCCTTTCGGACGGAACTGAATTCGTCCGAAACCGAAGTAGGGCTTGAATTCCAGCTTCTCCAATGTTGTTTTGGACATTTCGTCTACGGCGAATGTCCAAGTTTGCCCACGGCCCGAGTCCTCTCGGTTTAGTATGACCCAATCCCGAGTGGTCAGACCGTGGTTCATTTTCCTCAATCTCGTGAGCACCATCTCGGCCGAGAGCCGTTCACCGGCATCATCGTCCGGGATGTATGCCACACAGATGTGAGGTTTTGGAAGGTCCTGCTCTTTGACGAATTGGATTTTCGTCCCTTCCCATGGTTGGAGTTGCTTTGATGCCTCCTCCAGCCAGTTGGCACTGATGCTGTCCGCGCAGGTAATTTGCAACCATCCAGGCCGAAGAGTACAGCTCTGGAACCTCACCTGCGGGCCATCATCGGGTATTAGGCCTACAGCTTCCATGATGGCTCGCTGAAGGACCTTCAATTGTTCGCCCGTTAGGGCTGCGGTAGGATAGTCAGGGTGGATTAGGCCGACCCTGGTGCCCCCAGCCACAGCCCCGTACGAGGGTTTGGTAGCCCCCGGACAGGCTTTCTTTGCCGTGTGTTCCGGCGTGCTGTCGTCAGATCTCAAACGTTTGCTTACTCCAGCAACTACGGACTGGGATCTACCCCCTTCCGGTTGCTGTTTTGGCTTGTCGAGATCTTTGAGTGCTTGCTCTAAGGCAGTATCGTAAGCCATCCCGCTCTTGAGCAAGCGACTCAGCACTTTTCTTCTCGACCCTGGAAGTCGAGTACGTTTCAGTTTGAGGCTATCCAGTGCCCTGGTTGTCTCATCCTGATCTGATTCAGTCGGTATTGGGGACTTTAGCAGTTCCCTTTCCTGATCTGTAGTCAGTTCTGGTGGAGGCGGTATGATTCCGCTCTCCTCTTGTTGAGAGACTGGGTTCTCGCCCAGCCCCTCTTGTGGAGTCGGATTTCCGATCTCCATTTCCTCAGTTTCCTGAGGATCGGGGGTTTTACCCTCCCCGTTTGGGTTTTCTTTTGTAGTTTTCTTACTCATATTGTTCCCACGAGTAGCTAGGGAATCGAGATATAACATTCAATTGGAAAAAATACAGGGTGCTTCAAGATTCAGAATTCTGATCACCCTGTATCTGTTCCAATTGAATGTCAGTAGATAGTGAATCGAAAGTTGGGATAGGGACATATGTAAGCCGTTTTGATCGGTAATGAATAGTTTCGACACAAAAAAATCCTAAAATTGAAACATCTCGATTTTGAACACCCTATATCTCTGTAATTATTCCTGCTAGACCCCAAGTATGATGCATTGATAAAATCAGTTCTTCAGGAGGAATCTGAAAATGCAATAAAATACAAGGTTGTCTAATTGAAATAACAAAGTTGCTAGTTGTTTATGATAGAAGTGGCAACACTGTATCGATGAAAATATTATAGACAGATAGAGAATATTCAATTATCGAAGCATTCCAATTTTCAGAATGTTCTTCATTTTCGTTATCCAGATATACTTCTAATAGGTTCTCCACCGTGGATCACCCTGTATACGTTTGATAGGCTGCATTAGTCACTTTTTCTAGAAACACTTGAATAACCCAGAAACAGTTCATTTTAGGTAGAGGTAATGATATACTTGAGTTTGAACCAGAATTATGAGTGGAAACACAGTGCATGGTCTTCCCTATTGAAAATAACAAATATGACGTAATTTCTGGCAAAACCAGGAAGGTTTTAATAACAAAGCTATTTTAGTAGATTTCTCCATGTTTCCCTCTCCGTTTATACAAATTTTGGAAATCATGCTCCTTTCCGTATTCAATGGGTGTCCCAACTCAGTAACTTTTTGTTTTCAAATTTCACTTCTATTGGAAGTTCAATTGTCGATTTATTGTGAATGCTGTGCTAACTTGAAATCAAGTTAGCACAGCCACCCCTTATCAAAAAACTGAGAGCGCGGCAATTATTTTTGAAATCGAGATAAATAATAAAATGAACGATTCAAAATATGTGCATTGCTCACAATATTGAATTTTTCTTGTAACTTTCAAATCAACCCGGTCTGGAATCTTCTGTTAGCGTTTCAGTGGAGATGGGGGGGTTTTGTAAATGGGTGTCAGGTAATTTCAATTAGCTCCACAGACCACCAAAAATTTACAAGTAGTAGTATACCTGAGCTGAGGTGGTATGGGCCAATAATTGAACAGAAATACAAGACAGTTCCCTAATATTTCCCCATCATTCACCAATTAACACCCAGGCTGCCAATTCCGCTTGGGTACTAAACGCTTCACATAACATCTACAAAGCAACACAATACACAATTCAACGTCAAAATCTTGATCAGAGAAAATACGACAAACTTGTATCAACTCACCTACAAGAAAAATCAATCAGTGACTGAGTCAATTTTGAACTTGATCCAGTATAACTCAGAATAGAGTGAAATGTACACGGGCTCGAGTAAAGAAGAAGGCAGTGTATGAATAACATGTACTATTGAGTGCACGTAATTTCAAAGTCATTGCAATCGATTTTTATTTTCGACGCGTCGCGACGCTAAGTTCACAGTAGGCGTAGAATTTTTGAACCATCGAAAAAAATCTACTCGACTACATCGACTATTTTACATAGAAATTAAATATTTTTATTCGTTTCCGATAAATCAACGTTCGAAGTTTTGAGTGAAAAATCCTGTATGAGTTTTATCGATATATTTTACGTCAAATGGGTTCCGCCACATATTCGACAATGTTTCATAACCCCAGCGAGAATATATTATATTTGGAATACAATTATTGTCGATTTATTCTATTGGTGCTGTGCTATCTCAATATCAAGTAAGCACAGCCACCCCATTCAGAAAAGATACTGTCTACACGACTACCGCGGCGGTTGGATACTGATTCATAAACGACCGCCGCGGCAGCTGGATACTGATTCATAAACGACCGCCGCGGCGGTTGGATACTGATACATAAACAACCGCCGCGACCATATTTCTTCCTTTTTCATAGAGAGTACTTCCGAGCGAAGCGGTAGCTCAGTTGACATTGTACCTGACCTTTACGGTGGTGACTCGGATTCAACCCCTGCGAGGCCTAACTGTTTTTTAAATTTTTTCTCACAAATAATTTTTCGAAAAATAAACTTCTCAGAAGAAAGGTCTATTAAGGCGAACTAGGTTAGTTTGTTTGGAAAGCGTAGTCTCTTTCTCCATGCAGAAACGATATTTTCCTTCCGCATGTTTCACGGCAATCTTCTATATAAAAATAAGTAACCGCCGGCGGTTGTTTATGTATCAGTATCTAACCGCCGCAGCGAATTTTACGGCGGTCTTCTATATAAAAGGAGTATAGCTAGGTGCAAATTGAGTTAGCAAAGCTACTTGCTTTCCAAATAAATGTCGAGAATTTGCAGTGAAAGAAGAACTTGGTCGCGTTCTTAGTCTTCTGAAGGCACTGTCGACACGAGCGCTGCGGCGGTTGGATACTGAAACATAAACAACCGCCGCAGCGGTTACCAATTCTTATATAGAAGACCTCCGTGAAATCCGCTGCGGCGGTTGGTTACTGATACATAAACAACCGCCGGCGGTTACCTATTTTTATATAGAAGGTTGCCGTGAAACATGAGTAAGGAAAATATCGTTTCTGCATGGAGAAAGAGACTACGCTTTCCAAACAAACTAACCTAGTTTGCCATAATAAACCTTTTTCCTGAGAAGTTTATTTTTCGAAAAATTATTTGTGAGAAAAAATTTGAAAAAAGATATGCCTCGTAGCGGTTGAATCACCGCTGTTATAGTCAGGTACAATGTCAACTGAGCCATCGCTTAGCTCGGAAGTACTCTCTATGAAAAAGGAAGAAATATGGTCGTTGCGGTTGTTTATAATAATAATAATAATAATAACCGCTTTCATTGATAGACAGAAAGAACAAAACGAAAATACATTACAGGAAAAAATAAGTCTATCTATCAAATGACAGAGTTAGCTCTTGAACGTTCCCACAAGAAAGGAACGAGGAAGTGCTTTCTTCCACTCAACCTGCTTTCTTCCACACTATGTATCAGTATCCAACCACCGCGGCGGTCATTTATGAATCAGTATCCAGCTGCCGCGGCGGTCGTTTATGAATCAGTATCCTACCGCCGCAGCGGTCGTGTAGACAGTGGGCAGTGCCTTCAAAAAACTAAGAACGCGACCAAGCTTTTCTTTCACTGCAAATTTTCGACAATTATTCGACAATTATTTGGAAAACAAGCAGCTTTGCTAACTCAATATGCACCTAGCTATTATACTTATCCTTCTACTCTAATTCGAGGTGGTGCATGGTGGTATGGTGGATGTGACACCAGCAACCTGAATGGCAGATACCTCCATGGCGATATTCCAGAGGATTTGGCCTTCCAGGGCATGTACTGGGATGAATTCAAAGGATCCAGATACAGCTTAGCAGAGTCTAGGATGATGGTGAGACCTCGAGGGAGAGATAGTCCTGACATGGTCAGTGCTGATTCGACCATGAGCAGAATGGGCGATGATTATTAGTCTGGATCGAAGAAGGTAGGAAGTAAAATTTGTATAATAAAATAATGAAATAGGAGTGTACTGGGTATGCAGTGGAATAGATTTTACGTTTAATTGCCTAACCCAACCCAATCAGCCAAAGTACGTCTTAAAGGCGTCTTTAAGACGTACATGTCGGGACATAAGTACGTCTTAAAGACGTACATATTACGCCCAAGAGATGTCTTTAAGACGTCTTTAAAACGTACATTTTCCACTGATATGTACGTCTTATTTAAGACCTCTTTTTTAGGTGTTTTTGGTACATGACCTCAAATTGATCCTTCAAATTACGGAAAAATCACAAAGTTTCAGTTGATTTTCACCTGTGCACTGAAGTTAGCAACAAGTGCAGACAAGCAAAAAAAAGGGAAATAAACGACTTCATCAAACGGTAGACACAAGCGGTCACCCATTCAAGTACTAACCGCGCTCTTTGTTGCTTGACTTCGATGATTATACCATATTCACTTCTTCTGTTGCTCTGTTTGTTCTATATATCACATAACAAGCTTTTACTTAGTTTAACATGTCCTTGTGTCTGTTTGTAATCAAAACGTGCAAGTTAAATTTGACTCACTTTAAATCGTCCGATTGATTTGAAATTTGGCAAGTAAATATTATTCCGGTGACAATTCGTTGTGATATTATTATTGAATGGAAAAAACAGAATGGCGGATCCAATATGGCGGACGATGTGAGATCCAATATGGCGGACGATGTGGCATATGGTTTTCTGATTATGGTCTGATCTGATTCAAAATTGGCATCTGAAGGATTTCGGGATCATAGATTATAATTCCTTTTGTCGAAAATGAAAAATCCAAGATGTCGGCTTCAAAATGGCGGAAGAGTTTTGTGTTTATAGTCCGATTTCATTCAAAATTGATTACTATGGGTTTTTTGGGGTCGGAGAATATGATTTTTTTGTAAAAATTCGAGAATCTAACACGAAGGCTCCAAAATGTCAGACGAAAAAATTCAAAAACATCACTTTTGTTGAAAATAAGAAAAAACTGAACAATTGAAAATGAAAAACGTGAAGAGATGACATTTTGTTTTTATTCAGAAAATAACTTACATTATTGTTCTATAAGTCGAATTGACGTACTGGAATGTACGTCTTTAAGACGTCTTTTATACGACATGGGAGGAACGACGTGGATATACGACCTAAAATGTACGTCTTAAAGACGTAAATTCGTGTACGTCTTTAAGATGTACATGCCCAGGCCAAACTCAATGGACTACAGAGACAAGCGTGCCTGGCGATTACGGGGGCCATTTGCTCCACGCCAACAGCAGCAATGGAAGCCCTTCTTGGACTACTTCCTCTTCACATAGTTCTGGAGAGAGAAGCAAGATGGGCAACATACAGACTCCACCAAGCGGCCACTAGTCAACCGCAGGCAATAGTCATGAGAGGCAGCAGCATGCTGGAGGGCATAATAGCTCACAACATTCTGGGAATGCCCTCAGACATCATGCCTAAAACTATCAACCTTCACAAATCCTACACGGTGGTCTTCCCTGAAAGAGAAGACTGGGCTCGGAACGAAACTGACCTATATAGGGCTAATGAATGTTGGTTCACCGATGGTTCTAAAACTCTGGAAGGCGTCGGAGCCGGAATATACGGGATGAACCCAGTAGTGAAACGCTCATTCAGCATGGGCAAATTAGCTACGATATTCCAGGCAGAGGTACATGCCATTGAAATGTGTGCAAGGGAGTTGGAAAATCGACACCACACACGGAAAACAATAAAAATATTTTCAGATAGTCAAGCAGCACTGAAAGCGCTTGAATCCAACTGCTTTAAATCTAAAGCAGTATGGAACTGCAGAGAAACCTTGAACCAACTAGCAGAACGTAACAACGTGAACCTAGTTTGGATACCAGGTCACACGGGCCTAGTAGGAAACGAAATAGCGGACGCCCTAGCAAAAGGGGGGGCCGAAACACCGTTCACTGGGCCAGAACCGATCATCGGTATAGCATATAGCACTGCCAAGAATGCTATAACATCCTGGGCAGATAAGAAAAGACTCGAGTACTGGCGCAGTCTACCGGGCCTAGCCCATTCCAAAGCATTTATTGCTGGTACAAGGAACAAACAGGACACTGACAAACTACTAGAACTCAGCAGAGCAGATCTCAGAGTCATAGTAGGGTTGCTCACTGGCCACTGCAAACTCAAATACCACATGCACAAAATCGGACTTGCACAAGATGCAGAGTGCCGCCTATGTATGGAGGAGGATGAAACGGCGAAACACATCCTGTGTACATGCCCCGCAGCGGCCAGAACCAGATTTTCAATATTCGGCAATACAACAGTAAGGCCAGAAAACCTGGTAAATTGTTCTCCCAACGCAATCCTCAATTTCGTTAAGAAATTGGATATACAGGGAGAAATATAACCCTAGGGTGAGCCACAATAGGCCAATGGCCGCAGTGGAGGGCCTGACAATAGGCCCACTCACGTTCAACCTAACCTAACCTAGCCCCCCTCGGCCTTAGATTTGGCGTCTAAGGCCAATATTTCCTCCATTTGCCTGGATAACCTTGTCAAATTCTGGAGATATCTCTCATTGGCGTCCACGTCGCGAGGGGGGGGCTTTGGGAAACGGCTACTTAGCTGCTTCGCAAAGGCTAACAATGAGAAAAGTCACCCAATCCTAAGGTGGAGTGGATCCCGTGCCGATGGGATGCGTGGTACATGGGAGATGTGCAGACAACGAGCCCTCCAGAGAACCAGGCGAAACTCTGGAGTAAACAGCCTTGCCTCAGTAAACGGCTCTGCTGAGGTCGACCAACACATCCGCATTACTCGTGGGAACCATATGGAAAACCGAAAACAAAATAATGACGAACCTGCCCATCTGATGGAGGTTGAGGGGACACCATCCTCATCTTCATTGGATGCAGAGAATAGGCTTCTGGAGGGCGACTCTTCTGGAACGGGAACTGAGGCACATCAAACCTTGGTTACTGTGGAGGAAGAGCGCATCCTACAGGAGCTGATGGAGTCGACAGAGGAAGGGGAGGAATCTGGGGGCAGCCGTGAGCAGCCACCGGTTCCAAACCCTCAGGATCTGCCGGACACAAAAGTGAAGATGTCTGGAGCGCAGCGCAGGAAGCTGGCGATCCAGGCGGCTATGGCTCGTGGGGACCCGATCATTCCTAGGAAGCCTAGGTCAAATCGGAGGCCCACGAAAAAACCTCAAGCACTGGTGGCCGTAAATCCATCATGTCTTAAGAGACCAGACAAAACCATCTCCACAACGGGAAGTGGGAAAGTCTGCGAGGCCGCTGGAAAGAGGGGGAGATCCGAGACCAGCACACCTTCGCCGCTCCTTAAGAGGAGCAAACAGAGTGTCTCTGCGGGACCTTCTGTAACTAAACCCGTCAGTACACCAACTGGAGGCAGTTACAGTAAGGCCCTGACCTCCTTTAAGATGGCAGTGACTACGGGCAACTATCCCGAAGACAAGCTATCTTTGGAGCAGGTGAAGCAAATCCAGCTTCTCATTACGAGAGAGATCTGGAGATGTGAGCCAGGAACTGGGCCTCAATTCGCAGGCAGCTACCCTCAATCGGGGGTGCTGATCCTAACCTGCGAAAATGAGGAATCCAGAGAATGGCTCAAGCGGAAGGTGCCTACGCTGAAGCCTTGGGAGGGGGCCGCCCTTAGCGTCGATGACGCTAATAAGGTGGTCAAAACTCACAGGGCTGTGGTATGGGTGCCAACCGAGTTCCTGGACGCCAAGGAGCCGGCTAGGATCCTACAGCTCCTGGAAACCCAGAACAAGGGCATTAAAACAGGAGACTGGAGGATTATTTCCACCAATTCCGACAAACAAGGAATTACCCTTGTTCTTGGAATTGACGACCTCAACCTGAAGGAGTTGGCCAAGAGAGGCTTCAAAGCCTACCTAGGCCTGTCCCAACTTACCTTCAGGGTGGTAAGTAAAAAGAGCGCCGAAGATGCTGCAGGTCCTTCAAGTAAACCTGCAGCATAAAAAGGCTGCGACTGCTGCCTTAGTGAGGTACCTGTCCCGAGGCGAAGCTGACATAGTCCTGATACAAGAGCCCTGGATTCACGGGGGACGAGTCTCAGGACTGGGAGAAGCCAAGGGTAAGGTAATATACGATCTGACGGCAGGGAATGTGAGATCCTGCATTTTCGTTAAGAACGAGCTACACGCACTAAAACTGCTTGATTTCTGTTCTAGGGACCAGGCAGCAATTAGGCTGAAAACACGTATGGGAGGAATCTGGACGGAAATCATAATAGCCTCAGTGTATCTGCCATACGATTCTATCGGGCCACCTCCGTCAGCAGAACTGGAGAGGCTAGAGGAGTACTGCAGGCTTTCAAACCTACAGCTCATCTTTGGCATTGATGCCAATGCTCACAGCACAGCTTGGAGGAGCAGTGACACAAACAGAAGGGGTGAGTTCTTATTAGATTACATAATTTCTAAGAATTTAGTTATAATGAATCGCGGGAACGAAGCAACTTTTGTTACCAAAACTCGTAAGGAGATCATTGACATAACCCTGGCGTCTTCTAGAATAAGCTCTCAGGTAACTCGGTGGCGTGTATCTGAGGAACCGTCCTTGTCGGACCATAGGTATATCTGTATGGAAATTTCAGATACTGAACACCCGACAGAAGCCTATCGAAACCCGAGAGGTACGAACTGGGAGAAATTCAGAGAGGACTTAACAATAAACCTAGGAAACGTCAAGAAGATTATCAAAAACGGCACTGATGTAGAGGTAGCCTCCTGTCAGTTGCAGGAGGCAATAATATCCTCATATCAGGACAACTGTCCTTTGGTAAGGCGCAACAGCAGCAAAGACGTTAGCTGGTGGAACGAAGAACTTAAAACGCTAAGAAGAGAAACACGCAAACTTTTCAATAAGGCGAAGAAAACTGGGGAGTGGGGGCAGTATTCCATCACTCTGACCAATTATAATAAACAGAT